TTCTAAGATTTGATTTACATTTCTAATTAAAGTTGTTTTTGATCATACGTATAGATAATTATATAAAAATTCCAAAATTCTAAAATTTCAAATACATACAAAAACAATCATATGTAAATTTTAAATTTGTGAATATTAAAATTTTATATTTTAATTACATATATTCACCCTGCGCAAGGCGCAGGTCTTATCCTAGTTTATTTTAAAGATGATGTATGAGTTATTATCATATTTTCATTTTTTTACCATAAGTAAATATCAACATTAAATGTATAGTATGTGCTATTATCATATTTAAAAAGTTTACCAAAAATAGAAATTAATATTAAATGTATTTATCCATGTCATATTTTGCGTAAGCCATATTATCAATTTTAATAGCCATGTCACATTTTTTTGTGAAACTAATTGTAGATATGATATGTGATAAAATCACTTCGCAAATGTCACATTTTTTTGTGAAACTAATTGTAGATATGATATGTGATAAAATCACTTCGCAAATGTTATATAAGAATATTGTCATTTTGATTAATGTGAGATTTTGTATGTTCTTTCTTTTAGCATAAACCGTCTCTTAATTAATACCGGTTGCATGGTTTTGTTCGGTTCACAACTTCCCTTAAGTTTGTGGCAAGTTTGGAGCCACATGAATACAAAATGACTGAAATTTTGACAATTAAAACAGAAGTTAACACAAGATGGTACTTGAACTTGAGTTCAATTTTCAAATGGCAAGAAGCAGTCTCAAAAGTTCAAAGATCTGTTTTTGTCTTTCAATAGAACCAACAACATTCCCACTAATTTTAAGAAACTAAAATCATGACGCATATTCAAAGGCTTGTGGAGGTTGTGGCTCATCATCAACGGCCATAGCTGAGGCCGTGGTTCCTTGTGTAGCCGCCGCTGCACCAGCTGCGGGAGAAGTTGTTGAGGTTGGTGCATCGGTCAGAGAGAGAACCTCTGGCTCGTGTTCACGCAAGTCTTTGAGGAGAACGAAACCTGACGGAGCTAGCTTCACCGGTACGTATCTGCTGTCTTCAAGTAGCTTTATGTATTTCTCTTGAGCTGGGACTACTCTAGCTGGGTTTACTAGAATTTCAAACGCTGCCTCTGGCTCAGCAGCTTTCTTCTCAACCGTTGATGTGCCATCGACCTGACAATGCATTGAGACAAAGACTTTAAAGTACCACAGGGTCCAAACACTATAATGACCCCAAAGAGACAGAATCTATGAAGCTACAAGAGGCTAGAAGTTGAAGACATACCTGCATAGCGTCTCCTTCCTTCTCAGTTGATCCTTTTCCTTTCTCAGATGCACTTTCACTGACAGACTTCTCAGCACCAGATGTTTTTTCAGCATTAGCTTTCTGCTCTGCTTCCTTCTTAGCCCTAGCTTTGGCTTTAACGGAGGTTGAGAGAACTGCGGTTGGAAGTTTGGCAGCGGTATTGGCAGTAGCAACTGTGGTGGGTTTTGGGTACTCAAACAAAGACGGTTTTGCATGTGACATGAACTCAAACTTGGGAACCTTAAGGTCGTAGTTTAATCCGATGAAAGCGGTTGGTGAGAAGGCCAAACTAATGAAGTAGATCAGAGGGTACCAATACCAAAACTGGCTGAAGACAGCGAGGCCAATAACAGCAGTGACTTTGTCATGTTTGGTCTTAGAGAGCAGCCTTATAGTAACGTTCCTACCACCGGCATCAAGGATACCAGAGGCTAGAATTGCTCCCATCTTGCTCATTGTATCTTCGTGCTTGTCGAGTATGATCTTCTCAAGTTGGCGTCTGCAGAAAATATATAATATATCAGTCTACAAAAAAATATTCTCTACCTCTCAGAACTGAAAAAAAAAAATATAGATATGTGCTAACCTAAATGCTCCAACACGAGAGTCGCTTGCTTCGCTAATTTGGACCATCACCATGGCCATTGCAATCAAAGCACCTTGACGAACAAAGTCAACCACATCTGATGTAAGCGGCTCCAACAACGATATTGCTTCGCTGAGGCCAGTTCCTGCGCATGAAATGCCTACTGCAAGTGCCGCTCCATAGCGAACATGTGGGTTGTACGACTCAGACAGTAATGATACAATACGGGGAGTCTGCATAAAAAACAAAAATC